GCTGTGGCATCTACTAGCTGGTCCACCTTTGGCAGGGGTAGTCATCCTTTGGACATGCTTTGTTTAAATCTGTAAAATCTACGCAGACACGCCATTTCCCCCCTTTCTTCTTTGCGCATACCGTATTGGACAGCCATTCTGGGAACTGTATCTCTCGAATTGCATCGGCTCTCAGGAGTTTGTCTATTTCCTCATTGACCGCGTTGGTGTGATGCGAGGCCATACGTCGTGGCCTCTGCTTTACTGACTTGTGCGACGGGTCAACATGCAGCCTGTGAGTGATTATCTCAGGGTCTACTCCTGTCATTTCCATTTCGTTCCAAGCGAACACGTATGTATTTCCCCTTAAGAACCTGATCATCTCCTCCTGTTCGGCTTCGGGCATCGAGGTCCCAACTAGGAAATACCTCTCTTCTTCTCCCTCAACCAAGGGCACCTTCCGAAGGTCTTCAACCGACCGTTCAGTTGGGTCTACCCAGGGGTCATCCATCCCTGAACGCCCGGACTGTAATTGCTATTTTTCCATGATCTCTTCCGGTGCTCGCCCCTTCTCCTGGCTGGACGCCCCGGCCCGGACGACCGAATAAAAACAGTTCTTCGCAGACGCTTGGTCCCCCCGGATCTCCATGATACCCTCGGGCGTGGCGAATTTTAACTTCTGGTGGAAGGTGGAATGCACCGCACCCAACGCATGCAGCCATGTTCGCCCCATAATCACGTTGTAGGGGGAGTCTGTGTCGATCACAACAAACTCTGTGTCGATGACAAAGGGACCAGTGGCAACCGGCAATGTGATTTTCCCTACGGGCAAGGCGAAAAAGTCGTTGAACCCGATGAAGGGTGTCCTGATTTTGGTTAGGTCTTTGGGGCAAAGCCCATCCGCTTCAAAGTCTCGAAGTACATCACCTCCGAGGAGCTCCCTGAATCTATCAAAATTCTCTTGACATCGAATTTCCCTATCTTCAGGGTCAAGACAAGGGCGTCGTTATGAGGAATCACCACGCCTGTCAAATCTGCGTCGGAGAACGTAATGCCAAGCTCACCCATCCTGGCCCTTTTACTTGATGGCCCCACATCACCCTCGGCTACCTTTCTTGTAAAAGCTACCCTCTTGAGGTCGGACTCGAGCTCCTTGGACGTGGGGCGCTCCAGCGGACATATATGAATGACGTCTATGACGTTGTCCGATTTCTCGGTCGGGGCAAGGGCTCGCTTCTCTTCTGGCCTAGGCTCTATGTATTCTTTCAAATGTCCGTCTCGGACCAAGCTTTCCAAGAATGACTTGAACACCCTGTAGCTTTCGGTGCGATGCCCGACATCCCGGTGATATGAACACCTAACTTTTTGATCACGGGTGGAGGGGTCGCTCTGCATCCTGGGCGGCCATTTGAAGAACGGCTCGTATTTGATTTTATGGAGCAACCTGAAGATGGGTTCCTTGAAGACAGTGTGAAATCCTCTGGACGAACCCCCTGGATGGGGTAGTAATCCCTTTCGGGGAATATCTTCGCGCTCCTTCTCCTTTCTCTTGGATTAGAGGGCTCGGTTTTTGTTGCTTCCCATCTCGTCCTCGACCCTCGAGTACTTGTTGATCCGGGCCATCAGTTCCCCCATATCCGAGGGAGTCTTCTTGGTCAGGGATCGGTACAGGTCCGTGTCCCTCGCCAAGCCGAGCCGGAAAGATGCTGCTGCCATGACCTCCGAGCAGTCTTCTACCTCATTGACCTCTTCCCAGTATCGGATGGCGTACTGGCGAAGAGTCTTGGATTCCCTCCGTCTGAGGGTCAACAATGATCCAATGTCTTTGGGGCGCTTACTCCCCATAATGAATCGGGTCAGGAACTGCCTAGTCAACTCCTTCCAGGACCCAATACTGTTTGGGGGAAGCGTCTCGAACCATCTCATCGCAGAGTCCCCCAAGCTCATAGGGAACACTCGGCATAGAAACCGTTGGTCCGAATGATAGAGGGACATCATCTGCTTATATTGCCTGACGTGGGCTTCGGGGTCAGACCGCCCGTCATAGGTTTTGAACCGCGGCACAACAAACTTTCTTGAGACCTCCATCTCACTGATTTCCCTCGTAAAGGGTGTTTGCATGACTTCGTCCTCGGCCTCATCCTGGACAGTCTTACCCTTTCTCCTGGAGTCTAATCGGGCTTTGAGATCAACTTCTTCCCTGATGGGATGCCTTCTGAAGTCCCTGAGTTCATTGGTAAGCCCCTCATTTCCCGGGCGTCGTGTGGATTGGGTTGAGTCCTCCTCGGATTCATCTCCTTCCCTCCGTCTAGACAAACCTCGTCGGAGGTCGTCCAGGGCCAATGGCCTTGCTTTTCTGGACTGGTTGTCATGATGATGTGCGCCGACTCTGGGTCGTTTTGGGGCCCTAGAGCTTTCTGCTTTGTGGTCTAAGTGGTTCCTTAGATCCTTCGTTTCCGCCTCCCGGGCGGGAAGTCCACGGGAAAGGAATGAATCCCTCGACCCTCCGCCTGAGGCAGCAAACTCGTCAAGCCGGCTAAGGACGTTTACATTGTCCTTCTCCAGCTGACGTAATCTATCGCCAAATTTTTCTTCAATCACCTCCGCCAGCTGACGAGCCAAGGGGGCTGATCCCCCTGACCTGATCCCCATACTGGTTTGAGGGGTAACCCCTCTTGACCGAGTAGAGGCACTTTTATTCGTGTTAGTGTGATCCCTCCCTTCGTGATGATAGGGAGCTTGTAACTCGAGACTCCTTTGGTGGGGTCCTTTCCCTCTTTGTCGAGTGTTCACCATGGTCACTGTTCTTTATAGAGAGAAAAATCAGAAAACTAGTCGTTTTCCACAGACGGCGCCAGATTGTGCGTGCAAGATCCTGCACAATATAAAAAAAATGGGAACAGATCTCTCCCTTGGTGAACTTCGGGTGAGCCGGTGGAGTGACCAAACACACTGCTTGGGACAGCCTGCACGGTACGGTGGTAACCCGGAACGGTAACGGGAGACCCTGGAAAAGGAGTGACGGTCCTGTAAGGATGAAAGGGGTTCCTGGAACAAAGAAGAACAGGTTAGAAGGGCGCCGGAGTGTTTTCCGGCGTATCCCCTCCGACGATCTAGTCAGTCTTTGAGAGAGAGAGAGAGGAAGGAGAAAACACTGAGAATGTATTGTAGTAGAGAGTTTGTTGTTGCATACCCGCTTTGCCTTTTGGGAGGACTATTTATACCTTAAAAGCTCATGATTGCTGTCAGTGTGGTCAGTAGGTGATCATTAGGCACAGGTAGCGTGTGCATTGATTCTGATGAGGAATGTCTTCTCTAATTGACTGCTCCGGGTCCCGAGCAATCAATGCTGAGTCGTCGAGATGCCGACGGTACAATATGCTCCTCTCGGGGAGGATGCAATAAATGCTCTGTAATAGGAGCATTTATTGCCTTTCATTTCCGAGCCTTACCGCATTGAATGCGGTCTCATCAACAGAAGGGTGCAATTAATTGTTTGCTTTCCCAAGCCGCGTGTCAGCAACGGCATGCGGTTTGTCTGTCTTTGATGTGACATCATTTGTCACGCGTCCATCCCCTATTGGCTGTGACCTCTGTATTCCAGTATGTTCTGACATTACTTGTGTAAGACGAGGTCATGATGAGCAGCCTAGACTAGCCTAGGCTAGTGACCTATACGTCAATAGCTTATCCTGGAGTAGAGGAAGCGTCCAGGACGGAGTAACTCTCGGCACCGAGGAAAGGCTCATCTCGGAGACCGAGGGAGGTATGCGACCGAGGTACATAGGTGACCGAGGACACGTGTTGATTGTAAAATATACTGAATGCATGATCCTATATGAAGGTACCTCGGGGGCGAGGACATTCGTTCGCCGATGGTGCTTGATCCAAGCAACAGTGTTTTAGCAAAACCGAGGACACGTGTCTTCATCATAGAACATTTCAGAAAAGTCCCATCAAGGATATTCAAGCATTTACGAGTTCAATGAAGTCCCTCTGTGGATCAATCCTACCTAAACTTACATTTCATAAATTGAAACCCGGACTTTCACATTTATTGAACAGTTCAATCATAAGCTTTGACACGCTTTTCGAACTCCTATATAGATTTGAGCTTTCACAAAGATGTGAATCACCCAATCACATTCCCAATAATATATTGAACATGTTCATGAATTAATTTCAGCAATTGAAAAGGGTACGAAAAAGTCAAGTGTATTTTAGAATTGAGAATTTCCAGCTTGGTGGTGGACGACGATAGTGATAGTGGTGATGGTGGTAGTTTATGGCAAAGGTGGTGATGGTGGTGGTTTATGACAGAGGTGGTAGTGGTTGGGCGATGACAACGATTGTGAGATGACGGCAATGGTAATAGTGTTGACAGTGGGAGTTAGGGTGAGTGTTGGGGAGGGGGGTTGGTGAGATGGCACGACGGTGGTGGTGGTAAAGTATTTTGTTGATAATTGATTTTAAAGAAATAAAAATTATTTTTTTAACTTTTACTTACTTATTGATTTAAGTAGTAAAATTATTTTTGACTTATTTGAAAATAATTAAAATAAGTAGTTTTAAATACTATTTTTTTAAAAAAAATGCTTATGAGAAGTTATTTTTTAATATATATATATATTTTGGGAGGGGGAGAGGAGTTTGAACCCTTGACCTCTAGAAGACAAATCTTTCACAAGATAAGAAGTACTATTGTATCAAAAGTCATTGGTATGAGAAGTCATAAATCTTAAAAATACTTTTAAAAAATTACCCCAAATAGTCTAAGAGTCTTATTTTTCCTTATTAAATTTAGAAAATTAATAATAACCGTCACATTAATTTTAAAATAAAATTTAAAATCATCTCAACTGCAAAAACAAAAATTATTTTGTATATCTTCAATCTTTGTAATTTATTATATAGGTTTTTAGCCAATAAAAACATGACACATACAAAATTTTCTTATTTTACAATTTTATATGATTTTATGATTTTTATAATCAATAATTATAAATCAATAGAATTGTTGCGTAATACTCATGGAAACCTTTCTTAAAGATTGGTTGCCTCCATACAATCAATTAAGCATAGCGTGTATATCCAGACAATTCGCCTTCAAAGTTGCAGGTAACGTTCCTACTATTTTGCTTTGTTCATCTGGTATTTTTACATCATGGGAATGGCACAACCAACACTTCCATTAACTAGAATCATCTTTCTGCTTCTGTTTACATATCTATAAGAGAGAGAGCATTGATGAACTGAAGCCATGCAAGTCCTGGTGGACTTGTCCAAGCAGGAGCATCAGCTGCGAAAAAGTCATGGCTTATGGCTACCATTTTCTGGGTTACACTTGGACTAATGCCAAGCAACTCCTGGTGTAGTTGTCCTACCTCGAGCCTCAGCTAGCGAAACAGCCATGGCTAGCATCATCTGCTCCTCAAAACTCTCTGGAACAATAGGGCCTGCAACGGGTTGAAAACCGCCCTCCATTTCATCTTGGGATGGGAATGCACTGTTTCTACAACCCTCTTCTGCTGTATCAGAACTTGCGTCGCTGGTTCCTACTTCAGCTACCTCAGATCCGTGATCTACCCCCCATTGTCCATCATCCCCGGTCATTGCCAGCCGGCTATCAGGTGGCACTTCAATGGAGCTCCCTGCAGGAGTATAACTTCCGGTCACTTGCTCCTCCCTACCGGAAAATCTGCTACTTTCAGGGAGCATGTGGTATGCAGACATGTTTCCAGTGTAGTTATTGGAGGATTCACCACCCATTTGCTGACGCTCGGCAAGGGCAGCAATTGCACAAGCAAGACCACCAGAAGGGGATGATGATGATTCTGCCATCGGGGCAATGGCTGCTGAAATGCAGCGATCTTCTGCTATGTATTGTTCTGATGGAGCAGCATCACTATAGACTGGATTTCCAGGTCTGCCATTCTCCTGTCATCAGATTTTGTACACATCATGTCGACGAAAATTAGAATACAGAATCAAAAAAATCGTCAGATTTTCCAACCTCCCCCTCCCACCCACAACAAAGAAACCAGTAAAACACACACACACACAGATTATCAACATTGCTACTGCCTCATGATCTTTACAGCACAGAAACATTGTGTGGATGCACCATTGTATTAAGGTCATCTTTAAAGCACACATGCCAGAAAGACAAATACACAATTAAATTTGCAACTTGGTTACAAGCTTCTAGCTGTTTATATTGTAAATATGGAAAATAATATACAAAAGTAAGTCCATTGGGGAATAAACATAAACACTAATACCACGAATAAAAATGGAAGGCTTACTAAAAGTTACCATTATTATATAGCTCTCATACACAAATATGGTGACAATCCTCTCTAAAAAATTGACACACATACAACAGATATTGAGAACTTTGGAATTCACCAATTATCTGACAAGAAATGGTCCATAGTTCAAAACTTAATATCAACCACCCATCACCAAAAACCATCGCTTTAACTCAATATGTCATAACAATTAGATAGTATTTGTTGTCTAACAAAGAAAAAGTACATTCTAAATAATTCCATCATAGAAGCACTGTCAGAAAATTACATTTTAGTAAAACTTTCTTCTCTTTTTTGAGGGGGTGGAGGGTGAGGGCAGGATTACAAAAGAATCCAATCCTCCAAAACTTCCCACACGTGTTTCAAACACAAATCAATAAATTATTTGGAAAAGTACCTGAATGGACAGCCATATCGCTTCCATAACCATTATGTCCTCAAGATCAAGGTCAAATTCATCGTCCCTGCATTTAGAGTTAAAATGAGAGAGAAACACTAACACGAAATGTCAATCTGTTGTTTACAATCAGATCAATAGCATTTGTCAGAAACTGGAGCCCAAGAAAATTACATGATTGAACAAAGAATGTGGAAGAACAATTTGAAAAAATATTCTTAAACATATATCCTCATCACTAGAACACTTATGAAACTCTTTTTTTTTTTTAGGATGGAGACTAATGAGTAGATAACTATCATCATGCTTATGCCAAAAATGTTGATGTTGTAGGCGTTTACACCATAGCAAGCTGTATTGCACGAGCACTTGGATAAAGCACCAGCAAAAATTTGACCCGAAATACAAGATTTCCAAATTTAAGACTATTATTTCATCTTAGTGGATTAATCACATTAGAAAATTACGACGCTCTGCCCTATCAGTGGATATATTCCTTAGTAGTAAATATAACATCCATACAATTAAACTTTAAAGTTTGGTCACGTGTATCAGTTTGAAAAATACTCATTCTCACTAATACACTGCAGTTTTTAGTAAAATTCTAGTCATACGCCATCAATCACCTACCCACTCCCCAGAATGCCCATGGTGACATAAACCCCAGATATCTCCAGTGCCACTTAGTGCCATGTCCATCAAGAAAGCCCACCTCCTTCAAGAAAACTAATGAAACTTTGATGTGCCATGTCTGTTCTCAAAAATTGACCTTCAAGAAAACATAACTCCAAGGTATTGTACATCTGATACAAGGGAGGACTACCGAAAATGGCACTTATCGGGCTGCCAACCAGGGCTAGTTTTGGCGATAGTGTCAAAAAAATTCCCAAGACCTCATTTTGGAAAGCTCTCAGCAATCTGAGCAAGATTGAAGACTCCACCTTCAGCCTAGTTGTTTTTAAGCCAAAAAAATGTGTAGACCACTTTTTAAGCACTTTTATGTTTTAACTTCTCATCACGGGTATTTTCATAATATTGTGTATTTCGCTAGTTTTTCTAGTAATTTCAAACCATTAGCCTATCCTAATTATATTGGGCTGCAAAAATTATTCAATAGCTTTGGTATTTTGATATTAAAATTTTCAGAGGATGTTTCCCTGTTTTTCCGAATTTCTTTGGTATTCTTAGGAATTAAACAAAGTTATTGAATGATCCTTTTTCCGGTATCATTGCTAATAACCAACAGGTTAGGGTTTTTTGTGCTTTTTCAGTCATTTATTCCACTCCGTCCATCAACATCTAAGCTAGGGAATGCTAGCATAGTGGCTGCAGTGTCGCAGAAGTTAATTGGCACATAACTAATCTCATGGTCGAGCATAATGGCAGGCTTAGATGGTCTAAATTGGTATGGGACAGGTAATGTGGACCACGGGATGAGAAGGACAGCTTTCGAGATGACTGTCAACTTCTTAGTGGAGTGAAAAACAAATAGACCTCTCATTAATCTAAATCCAGAGAATTGGATCACCATTAATAATGCCAGAGGCAGAAAAAAACTCATGTTATTGCGAATTTTACAGTAATAAAGACAAGCACAATAGCCTGTGGGTTAGCAAGGATAAGTATGGGGCATATGGCCCTGGTTATACTTAGCCGACCCCAAACACAAACATTTACTATTGATTCCTGGGCCCTACAACAACACAAAATACTGAGCTCTAGAAATTACAAAAAATATATATATAAAATTGACCAGCAACAAACCAAAAATACAAGAACAAACTAGAACACTTATAAAATTAGAACTGCATTATGCAAGGTCCCAAGTGAGCCCCCATTCGAAATGACCCTATTCAAATAATCCTTTTTTCTTCTTCTTGTTATGAGCTGCATCATCAAACAATTCTTACTAAAGACAACATTGTGCCACATTTATTCTCTGATGTTAAGATGTGCAGGACCTATCTAAATATCCACTGTTCACTAGAGATACTTTGGCTAGCCATAAACGAGACAGTTTCCTCAAATTTTTCATTAAACAGGACACACGAAAAAAGGAAGTCACCACTAAATCCATTTTTCAGCAAAATATTTTGGCTGACACTGAACAATACAGTCCCATTCTAATTATTTCAATGTCACATCTGAAAAAAAGATGTCTGTCTCAGAATTTTTTGCACATTCACCTCAGTTCAAGTTGATCTGTCTTGATTGTACATTTCCCTTCTTACAAATCTTGTTTTAGCTTTATACAATATGGGACTATAAACAGAATTCAATCAGTGACACATGAAATATGAACGCCTCAATATATATTATGCATGCGTAAAAAATTCCAAGTGCAATTTAGGCAATAATGAGCAGCATCACAGATATCTTTTCTCCAGGGAACAAAATTGGAGCAAGAATATGTTAAGAAATCAAGCAATCCAGAGTAAACCAGGATTGTAGTTGATATATAACCGACAGAAAAACATCAAGAACCAACTTTTTAGTGGCAAAAACTGATATAAAATTTATAAACATATTCGTATACCTGTTCTGCCGAGAGCGGAGTGGTTGTCTGGCTGTCAGACCAGTACATGAGTCTTGAGAAGGAACAATATCCTCACCCTCCACGGTAGCAGTAAAAGAAGGCACTACAGATAAGATGGAAGTAATACATAACACAAAAGGCTAATCGGAAAAACAACAAATGGAAGTAATACATTACTCACAATACATATAGGAAAAGTGAGTACATTATAAGCAAAATAAATCACTACCTGCTACTGAGTTATTCTCAACGTCGCTTGGTCCAATGGCTCTGCTTGTTGAACTTATCTCTTGTCGTTTCTGCATCCTCTCTTCTTCATCCTGAAGTTCCTGTTGCCGCATCCTTATTTTTGCTTCTATAACTCGTTGTTCTTCCTAATAAAGCAAGAAATGTGAACAGATTCCAAAATAGATGCTCAGAATCGAGTCCAACAAGTCCAAGAGAATGAATCCAACATAAGGAAAATAGAGCATAAAATGAAAAATCAAAACATACAATTTGCTCCATGCCCTTTTCCTCCTTTGTTTTCACGCCCCGGTACTCCACAGCATAATTTGAAGTTTTACAAAAGGGACATCTTTTACAGTTAAGGAATAGAACTGTAGTACACTGACTTTCAAGATGGAAAACAGCAGCAACAATAATAGCATAACTGATTTTACATCAAGAATCATACAATAATAGTTCACAAAAATCAAGGATACTGAGTAGGACGCGTTGAATTAGGGGTTTTCATCTGCAGAAAACACTCTGGTGCAGGGAAAACATGTCACAAAAATCAAATTATTTGATAAGTACATAAATCATATCATAAGTTCATAATAGCTACCTGTACAAATTCCTTTCGTGCAACACCTCGAGCGATTGAGACTGGGATAATACTGAAATATTTGAAACCAATACAAATAATTAAAAAGCCTCAAACATACTTTTCGGAAGGAAAAAAAAAACCTCAAAACATACAATTAGATACTTGTTTCATCGAATTCCACATATAACAAAATTACAACACAATTCAACCCAGGCCCTTCTGCTATAATCTGCTGAGAAACTGAGAGAAGAAAGACAAAACTGAATTGCAAATTCATGATGCCTATAGTTACGTTTAGCTCAATAATTAAAATACTGAACTGATAGAATTGAATTAAAACTTCATTTCCAGTACCAAACAGGCTCAAATAAAGCGGCAATTCAATTACCCATTAGCAAAAATTCATAATATATAGAACTAATACTTTAAAATGGAAGGCTCCAATTTACAAATATCTCCTCAATTACGTCCTGTGCAGCAATCTGAATCATATCATTCCTTACCCTTTTCTCTGAATTTCTAAGAAACCAAGCAAAGAGCAGAACGAAACTAATTCAATCAAAACAAAGAAGAAAACACAAATAAGGCATGATGAAAGTACAGACCAAGAAACAAATAGGGCATTCCTCAAGATCACAGCCACATTCTTCGTCACCAGGATAGCAAGGAGCGAGCTTGGAGTCGAGTATGAGCTTCCTAAGCTTCTTCTGATCCACATCCTTGTGCTGATACAACCCTTGTGGCCTCGTATACTTCTCATCCACCACTTGCCTCCTCCTCCCCAATTTATTCCCCATCAATTCTCCCAATCCAATTCAATAACAAAAACCCTAATTTTCACATTACATCACCTAACAATATCATTTTACTTCCAAAAAAAACACAAATTCGCTTCAGAAAAGTATTAAATCATCCTGCAAATTAACACAAAAAACACACTTACACACCCCAAAATAAAAAGAAACTTTTTTTTTGCTGAAAATATAGAATCAGGATTTGAGTGAACTAACCTCGAATCATTCTTGCGGCGATTGTAACATTTTGGAGAGAGAAAGAGGTGGGCGAATGGAAATGAGATCGAGAGATTGTGTAGAGCATCAGAACTTTTCTCTGAGATATTGTGTTTTGAACTTTGATATAAATGGGTGTGAATTTTTTTTATTTTTTTTTTTGCGTTTTTAAATTAATAATTTTTGGTTGTGGTTTTGTTTTCTTTCAGCGACTGGACTCTATCCGACGGAAAGATTATGTGTGAGAGAGAGAGCGAGAGAG